CAGTGCTTGAAGTGGGAAAAAATAAGTGCAGGAACTCTAATTTTCTCGGGCCACTGTCGCTGCGTCGGATCAGTTTCAGTAAGTACCGGAACGCAGAAAAAAGTGGCGGAACCCAAAAGACGAAAATACAGAAGTTCCGGAACTGCGTTCCGGCCCACTTCAAGCACTGCTTATATCTATGGTAACCACGGGCGCCTGCAGCAGTACATCTTTATGCATTGTGCGTATAGCCTTGCTATTATGTGGTTAACGTTACATGGTTCTATTTTTTGTCTTGTTACGTCTGCAACAGAAACGATTTTCCATCATGATTCTTCGGCAATATATTTCTCTCACTCTCTGTTGTTATTTCGCATTACATATTGTGTTTATTAAGATGGAACAAACAATATGTAGTGATGTACGATATATCGGATAACATGCCGATATTTCTAGCCGATATTTAAACTTTTTCAGTTCAAAGTTATTATTCAAAGTTAGCAGCACCAAAGCTTAAGACACAACTAAAATAATAGAGATGATTACACTGGACGATCAGCCATTTTCCGTAGTGGTGGAGGAGGGATTTCGGTCTCAAAATACAGGCAAACCACATGTTTATAATTCATTATTAAACCCACCAAGATCGATCTTTCATTTTCCATATAATAGAAAAATCATTCCGCTAATCTGCGCCGGTAAGATCGGCAAGTTTCACCGCTGACACCCCCAGCAAGATTAGCTGCGATATTAGACAAAAATATCTTGGTGTCAGTAAAAATTAGTGCACCATTAACAATATGGTCATTACTGAAATGGGACCTTCACATCAACTTTGCAGAACAGAAAGGGCACACTCCTGGCATTTGACAAATAACTCATTTCTAACAACTCGTTTTTAACAAACAACTCGTTTCTCATTCAGTCTGCTCCTTATTATAACACCAGTTTACCATCTAGTGGTGTTACACAATCTGTCACCTCCAACCATTTATCCTGGTCGCGACCTCAGGTAGCACACGACACAAGGCAGGGATTCACACTGGTACAGGACACCAGTTCATTGTAGGGACAATGCACACAAGGGAAAATTTAGACACCGATTCTTGGTCTCTGTGAAAGTGATTAATTGCCATTGTTGACACACCACAGCAGACAGGGCACAACAACAAAACGTATTTAACCCATATGTGCCACCGCAGTATGCAGCTAAGTCAGCGCCAGGGAAGCAGTGCTTGGGGGTGGTACTCTGCTGGTCGGGGATTTGAACCAGCAACCTTTCTACCACAAGTGAAGTCCCCTAATCACTAGGCCACCCTCCAGATGTACTTCAGAGCTGCTTCCTTTCCCCGGTTTTTTTCCCCCAGAACCCCACAGCCAACAGCTGTAGCGTCTGTCAGCATCTAATTCCCCCCACTGATGCTCTGATCAGCCGGGCACTGGAACTGCAGGATTTCTACAGAGAACTTCACCCCCCCCCCTCCCCGGCCGGCGCGCGCCTTCCACCACCTCCCCAAGCAAATAACTCGCATGACAGAACATATGCACCTCACCTCCATCCCTCTCACTATCCTGCCTCGTTCATCTGCTCGATTTGTATGCGCATCTGTACTCTGCGCCTTTCTTCGGTGGCCGTCATTTGCAGAGCCATTTATCAATCCGGGAAATAAAGTATGAGTGACTGAATAAGTGTGACAAATAGCCCTTACAATGTAATAACAACGGAACACATAGTTAGTGATTATCTTTTAACAACTAAATCATTCTCCCAGAATACTGCACCATATAAATAAATACCATTAAATGAAGTGCAGCCAGGGGCAGAAATTATCATTTTTTTTACAATGTTTACGGTAAATTTCAAGCGGCCGCCTGCACGTGCTGCGATGAAATCATTCTGCTCGGACAGTCAATTTCACGGTGCCAATGGACCAGATCCATAACTGCAAGGATGTAATCATCTCCTCACACTGTGGACACTTCAGAACAAATACAATATTTGTGCTCCAGTCACTCCGGCATCTTCAGTAATTTCCAGCAGAAACATGTTTGTTTTAAGCGCAGTCCGGATCGCGGCGTGGCCCGAGAAGGAGCCTGTGTAATATTTCATGTTGTTTTACCTGCGATTTATATTGACTTTATCACTGGACCCACTACAATATCAAACCTCTGCCAATTCCGTCGTTTAGCTTAGGATTCGCCGCAGGCCCCCCTAGCCAGTTTCGGTTAACCGAACAGTTTGCTCTAAACAGAAATACAACATCCAGGCAAACAGGTTTAGCTCTGAATTATCTCCTGCAGAGGAGAGGATCTCCCACATTTGAAGAAAATGAGCTTATAAATTCATATCAAAGCGGCACACGGCTTCAGCTGAACAATCGCCGAGGCGCAGCATTTTAATTAAAAACTGGCAATCATGACTGCGTTATGCTCCTGCATTTCACTACTGGGCATGTCCAGAATATTGTGAGCATGTGAAATGATTTGCCTTAAAGGGATGGGTGTGGTGATATTTAAGCTCTTAATTCATTTGGTCGTTGCTAGGGCTGGTATTTCCACTTCACAGCTGCTGTACGTTCATAAACAAAATTTAAGCAAACTTAGAAACATGAATGAATTAATTATATGGTACACGGAGAGGGGAACGTCTGGCAGGTCTGGGAGAGGTGTGACCCCAGTCAGTAGCAAACTCACCTGATCTTCTGCGTGGAGACTCCGGCATGCGGCTCAGAGGATCAGCAGCCAGTACGGCAGGGTGCTTTTAGCCTCACCCTTTGTAAAGCTGATGGACCCATCCCCTAAACAGAAGCCGAATTTAGACAATCACATTCTCAAGTGCGGCGTGGCGTAAACCAGTGTTTCTCAAACAGGTCGTCGGGGACCCCCAGGCGGTTGGGAGTTGGGAGGGAGCAAAAACGTGGACCTTCTGGGGGTCCCCGAAAACTGGTTTGAGAAACACTGGCGCAAAATACATACAAAGCTTAATTAGAAAGTGTGCAGGCCTGGGAACTTGGAGGATAAATATGGTCGTGTCTGTTTTACTGTCTGGTTCTCCGTTACCTCCAGCCCCGTAAGTGATCTCGTTTTTCCCCATTATTGCACGTGTACAAAGTATTCTAGTAAGACACGAGGACAAGTCTTCCGAAGTGGTCTTTTAACAGAATGAAATTAGGTGAAATAACTCGGACGGAAACAGCGGTAGCAGACAATGAGCGGGTAATACAATTTCAATTAAGACGGAAGTCAGTGGGGGAAATGAATAATGTGAGGTAACCGGATGTGAGACTGTTGAAAGCCGAAATATAATAAAGCAGAAGTCGGGCAAATATATTCACAGTGAATGCCGTCCTGAAATAATGAGCTCTTGACAAAATCCGTTCACAGTCTTCTCGAACCTGACAACACCAAGAAAAAATCTATTTACTGCTAGTATCCTCTAACGCATCCTCTAACGTATGCTCTAACGCATCCTCTAACGTATCCTCTAAAGAACTAAATTCTCTTACCCCCATCCCACTGCCCCCCACTTCCACCATTTTAAATAGCTGGACTACCGTCTCATGGAATTTTCATGCAATTACTGACAGGCACTTTAATATTTTATGCACTTTAAATTACATTATATTTTAGATTATTTTAGTGAAGATAAGTTTTAATTTATGTATGTGTGATGATGACTGTGTGAGTGACGTATGTATCTCTGACAGATGTTTTAATTTTGTTGCACTGGTTGCAATGCAATGACAATAAAGATATTCTATTCTATAACGGTTGTTAGAAACATTACTACATATTATATGATTCGCTTCTTAATTCATTTACCCTGTACTGCCTCATATTCACTGTAGTGCTCCATGTGACCAGCAGGTGGCACCTTGTTTATTAATTAATCAGTCATCCAACTTCTAAACGTATATCCTGCTCGGAGTTATGGGGGTGCCTGGAGTCTATCCCGGGCAACACATGGAATTGGATAGGGCTACATCCTGGGCATGATGCAAGTCAATTACCGGGCACATACACGCACTCTACGGGCAATTTGGAGACAACAGCCTAACTGCGTGTAGAAAACCCGGAGGAAACCCGCATAACACATGCAAACTCCACACACGCCGAGAGGAGATGGGATTTGAACCCGCAGTCCTTCAAGTGTGAGACAACAGTGTTACCCACAGTGATATATTAATGTTGGCAAATGAATCCAAGTGTAAGTTGCATGAAATCTTAGACGCGTGAGGCGAGCGGATAGGCAGACAAAATACAATACGTGCGTAAACGGGAAATACGCTCGGCTTGAAAGGATAAACGTTATATAAACCGTTCAAGAAATAATCGTTAACTTTTCTTTTGCAAATACGGAGGAAGCGGACAGTACAATAACTGTCCATTGTGATGTAGACTTCCTATTATAGGTGGATTTTGCCATGATTTGAAAGACACGCCAGGTTTTCAGTCAGGCGTCAAATTCCACCAGAGTTAATTTTCATTCATTATAAATGTAAACACTTGGCTAAAATAACGTTAATTACCTTTCTCTTTTACAAACACAAGAGCTTTTCTTAACAACGGGAAATGACAAAGTTCTGTCTGGCTCTTCATTTCTGTGGTAAAATTAACGCAGGTCTATATCATGGCTAAAGGCGATTTTTTTGCTCATTTAACGGAGCGCAGGCCGATAAAACGATGCGAGGTGGAACATTAGCCGCATCTACTGGCCACACCAGGAACTGCGCTCTTGTTTGTTTCAGTAAGCTAAGTTCTGATATTGTATTTAAAAAAAAACCATTTCACTGTAAGATTCTCTTTGACCATGTCGGATATTTGGCGAACAACTTTGACTATATCTGATATTTGGCGAACAATCGTGCAGCAAGTGCAGCAAGTGATGGTTGTCACATACAGATTACGAGAGTTTCAATACTTAGAACGAGGATGGAAAGGGGCTAAAACACAAAACCAAAAAAAGGTCATGAAAAAGTTTAGTTTTCCGACATTGCTTGAATAATTTTATAACACAAACACACTATCATATCGTTTATTTGTACATGCACAAAACAGTTAATGATATTCAGATTTATTCACAGCCTCAGACAACTTTTTCACAAAGATTTGTTATGATTGGAGGTGAAACATCAATCTCAATCTCAAATGCCGTTTCTGTAACTGCAATGATAATAATGATCCCTGTACTGCTGTAGCTATTCTTGTTCTGTGCATCCTCTCTTTATAAAGCTTGACTTAGTTACGTACTAAGGGAATTTTTTTTCCCTCCAAAACGGAAATCCATCTCGTTCATTCTTCCCGATGGGGCCATTCTTCGCGAGGTATTTTGGTTCGTTTTTATGTGTCGGCTGGTCCTGGCTCCACCGTTATAGTGTGGGATACAACTCCTTCCTCCTCGCCTCCAGCGCCCTCTTGGGGTGTGATGCGGCCATTACGTGGATACGTTGACGTCCAACCAAAGGCGGATCTCCTCTCGGTTTCTCCTCATCCAGTCGATGTTGCTCTTCACCTTCTCCAAGGCCTGCTTCCTGGGCGTTGCCCCCGCCCCAGCATCGGGATGCCTGGAGATGAAGTTCTCAATCTGCTCCACGTGGGAAGGGAGGAGCAGGTTATGCTGAATAAGGTCACATGACAGACATCAACACAACATGCCGATAAACATGAATGAAAGCAGTGCTCTCATATTAAACATCAGATTCCCACTTAAACTCATCAGACCCCCAATGTATCCTGAGATGTTCTTGGTATTAAAATCTGAAATGCCAGGACCCCAGGCAAGGGAAATATAAAATCAAGAAATCAATAAATTGCAGAATAACTGTGAACTATGTTGCTCAGACTGCAATGACACCTCGCCCTTCTGCGCGCTATGAAAACACGCGCCGGCGAGCAGCATCGCAACCAGGTACAAATCACAGCCACGCAAATTGCCCCGGCGGGCGAGTCGTGCGCAGGCGGCGTCGATCCCAGGTCACGCCGCTTCGATCTTTAATAAGAGGGACACGTTCTGGGCGTGCAGAGAAACCCGAGCGGAAAAGCCGTCTCCTTCCCGGCCCACCGGGCCTCCATCTCATTACCTGCCACAGCTGCAGCTCAGTGTTGTAAGTCGCCGTAATCCTGGCCACCAGGCGACCAAGGTTCCTGCTGTTGATGGTGAACCTGGAAGGACGAGATGAGACACATGGCGCGGGGAATGAGGTCGAGGCAGCGTCTTACACCCTCCTGCCGGTGGGGGGGGGGTTCCATGCTGTGTCCCTGACTGGGCCTGATCAGGAAGTAATGGGCCGCGGAATGGGGGGGGGGCACCCAAGTCTGTTACCAGGTAACAGAAGGGGCATCATCACAAAAAAAACCCTATGAATTATATTAGAAATAATATAATTTATTTATATAATTCATATATTATAATATAATTAGTAATGGAAGCCAATAAAGCTTTAAGGATAAGCCCTTCCTGCCATGGGACCCTCTTGCTGAGATGCATTCTGTAGTCCATGAACTACAGAACTTTTACAGACATCATCTGGCCAGTCTTACTGCTCCAAGGGGGGGACGCAGCTGTGGGCACCACAGCCATTCCCAGGCTATGAGATGAAGACCAAACGCCACCAGCAAAATCTGACTAAAAACCGGCCAGGCTAACGTGGCAGGTAGCCGCTGTGAACGGTCTCAGCGGGCTTCCCTACCTGTTTACCAGGTATTCCCAGTTGAGCGCGGTCCAGTCCCAGGCCATGGTGCTCCCGTATTTGTTCAGCGAGACGTATCTGATGAGTGTGAAGACGTCCTGGGTGCGGATGATGCTCTCGTTCTTGGCCGCCTCTAGGAGACTGTGGGGGGGGAGTGGTAAGTTAGCCGGAATCCGCTGGAATCTCGCTGGAATCCGGGGTTCTTTGTTTTGTCGGTACTCAGAGAAATGGCAGAGCCCATGAAAAATTCTCCTGAATGGACCCCTCCATCTCCAAACCAAAGCTACCATTATCCACAGCCATCAGCCATGCACTCAAGGGCGACCCCTATGTCTGGGCCCCAGAAGGTCTTCCCCTTTCTCCCGCCTGCATAGAATCACACTAAAAAAAAAAAAAATAAACAAAATACTCACACGGCAAATAATAAAGCTAATTAGCGGTTCTGGAGACACCGTGTTTCCTCAGTACGAATGCTTGGTGCATCGCGTGCAGCTTTACCGGCTGAGCAGATCCACGTTCTCCACCGATGACAGCCCGTACAGAATCTTGTCCTTCTCCTGGGCCAGAGTGGCGCTGCTGTACCTCCTGAACATCTCATCCCAGGCCTCCTCAGAGCCCGCCTGCTTCATTCCATAATGGTACACCAGTCGCCGCAGGTTTGTGGCCACGCTGACAGGAATTGATGCCGGTCAGTGCCACACTCAGAGACGAGGCAGCCTTCGAATCGGCCTGTCATTGCGCTTGCATTCCGGCTCCGCCCACCAAGGGAGCTTTAACGGATTTCCAAAACTAGAATCCAGCTCAGTTTTTATAACACCAAGTCATGCCCTAAATTCTAATTACTGATGTCATGTACAGTCGCGTGATTGATGTAAAATCTTTACAGAATGTGATCTGAATGTGTCAGTATGGCTGGACTGCATTCTCGTAAAACCATACAAGGCAAATATTTGTAACCTGCATCGATTTGAGGGAATTAAACACATTTGTGCAGCTATTTGGTTACCTGTCTGTAGCGTTTTGCCTATTTACCTATATATTTAGAAGTTGAATCTTGAAATGTTTGTTTCAGCATTTGTTCCTGCGATCAATAAACGGCAACCTTATCCTAATCTTCACTACGTGAGTAATGGTAGCTGAACTCGTATCTGAGAGCAGAAGAATACCGTAGTGGATCTTGTTGACGTGTTATATGCGTGTGTGTGCGGGGTACCAATACTGGGGTTATCTACTCACCGTGAGCCATTGATCCAGCGGTAAAACAAGTGAGAGGCTTGGACCAGGGCGTCCTGGTCTTCCATCTGGCAGGACAGTCCCAGAATTATCGCACGTAACATCCTGGTGGTTACAGAGGCCGTTTTGGCTTCGTATTCACAAATGGACAGAGACACGCAGACTCAGGCAGACACAGTATCATGTACTGATATATATGCACAGGGAGGAGAACACATTGGTTGTCATGCAGACTAACCCACAGACAGGCAGAGGGAAAAGCACTCTCACACCTTTCTTGCATGCTCCCTGTGTCATTCCATCCCAGCATCCTGGAGATACCTGACAGCTTATTACGGAAAAACATCTAAAAGGGACAAAAAAAAATGACTATTACACTATGTAGCATCTGTAATGTCTGTATAGAGTCTGTAATATCAGAATTAGTAAATTCAGAGTTGACGTAGAAGATAGGTTTATTTATACATGTAATGCACACTTACTCTCAGCAGGGGGCGCCCAGACACTTTTTGACTTTTAAAATGCCAATTATGAAAAACACGTCTGATATTCCTAATACAGATTTTTTCCCCCCCCCTGAATAAACAGTGATGTTCAAATTCAGACTCAACCTGTAGCATTAGTATATACTAGTATAGCACGAAAAAATAACTAATTTTACATGGAAAAGCATATTTATTTAATTGGTTGCTTGTCTGTAATGTAATGTCGGGGTATTGCAAGTCATTCGTCCTGGGTCGCTCTGTAAACCAGCATCTACACCATCCCCACACTTAAAAAACGCACCAAACCAGTTTCATCACTAAAGCTCAAATGTCCCCCGTGTCTGTGTAGCTCATCTCCACGTCTAATCCCTGCCTATAACGTCCTAATGGGGGGACCAGCGGCCCACAGCTTCCCCGATGGGCTCGTTTCGGCGCACAGAATGGCCTTTTGCATGGGGTACCTGGAACTTTGGGTACAGCGTGGAGTCCTGCACCATCATGTCCCGCACATAGGCGATGGACGAAGCCACCGTGTCCCACACAACGTACTCTGTTTCAGCCGCTAGGTATTTCGCCAGGTTAAATGCGTGGCTGTAATCGATGACGTTGGCTCTGTTCGGGCAGATTAGTGAATTGGACAGTGAGGCACAACAGGTTTCTCCCTGCGGGCGTTTTTTTTTTTTAACCATGATTTGCATTGCGATCGTGTTCATCCGCGATCAACAGAGTGAGCAAAACGCAAGTGTTTCTCAGAAAAGGAAAAGAAAGGATTCGTACCGTGCCAGAAAAAATGCATCATCTATGTACCCCGCACGATCTGCCTTAGAGAAAACCTAAAAAAAAGTAACACAGACGTCAGGTTATAGGTTAATTGCATTGTCATTGCACGGAAACAGAAAAATAACAGTGCTTTGAGTAACTTGCCAGAAAACAAGTACGCTAACTATCGCATATGATTTATATTGACATTCAGTGAGGAAGATATTCAAGTAAAAGTCCAGTAACTGACTGCCAAAAGTCGGCACCCTGGAGAAAACGGGAAATACCCTGTGCTCCTGGAGCAGCTGCTGGCTCACTGAGCTCCACAGGAGGTCATTGTAATTGACCCGGTAGAAGCCAATGGAATCTCTGTTCACCTTCAGCAGTCCATCCACATCGGTGGCATAATCTGGGACTAGAAGGTCTGCGACGTAGAGCAGCAGAAGACATTCATGCATTTACAGCGACAGATATAAAACACCAATATAAAAGTACATGTAAGTGAGGGAATAATGGCTTCTTGGATGTAAGAGTTTAGTGCTTGGTGTTTCTGAGAGATGAAAGACCATCACATACTATCAGGGTACCTTAATGGTCACAGTAGGGATACAGGTGTAGAAAGAGCTTGTTATTAACATACTGGAGGGGTTCCGCTGTGGGATCTGCCCATCATACCTCTCTGTATCCTGTTGTACATTATACTCCCATTCTTCTGGCTACCCAGAGAGAACCACTTTATAGGGATGATCCAGCTGTAGCTGTGGTGAAAGTCAGATGTCATGACAGTGATTGTAATGGGATGTCAGTAATGATTCAAGAGATAGTCAGTCGGACCCTCCTGTTCTAGCACTGGCAGAATGACAATTAAGCAGGTGTTCATCCTCCCTGAACCCTTGTTCTCCATCCTCCCTGAACCCTTGTTCTCCATCCTCCCTGAACCCCAGTTCTCCATCCTCCCTGAACCCTTGTTCTCCATCCTCCCTGAACCCCAGTTCTCCATCCTCCCTGAACCCTTGTTCTCCATCCTCCCTCAACCTTT